TGCACTCTAGGGAATACAGATTTAAACATTTTAAGCACTCCAAACAAATTAGATGCTTTATAGTGGGTTCTATCAGTAAAAGATCCTTGTATGCTCTCCAGGTCTGTTAGTGCAACAATAGTCCACCCTAGAGAGCACTAGTATCTTTAAAAAGTATCATGGGTATGGCACATCTTGTTTGAAAGGTTCTTGTTATCTAACCTTTAACTTTTCTAGTAGTTGTAATAGCTACTTTATTGTGTTCTTTAAAGGGTCCTCTGACATGATTACTCCCAAGTTTTACATATTGCCTTATATTTCAATAGTGTGGTTCGACTACATTTTATATGTAGTTTCCATTTTATATTTTCGTTTTTCCCATAGTGCAGTAGCTGGAACATACCCTTATTAAACATCATGTTGTTTTATATGGCCAACTGAAAAACCAATTTACCACCAGAGTGCAGACTTGACGTGCCCTTTATACAGTATTGTCTACTCTCATGAAAATCCTACTGGCACCTGCTGATACAGCACTATAGTTTGAATCCTTATCTATGTCTGATATGATTAGAAAAAAGTACCAAAGCAAACCACAGTACCCAGAGGGGCTGAGCTTTTCATGGTGGATAATCTGAATTTTATTTTCTTGACTATAATACTCTAGGTTAAGTTCATTAGGAAGTTAAATAGCTATCTCCCTTTGGCAGAACCGTATTTACTGTCGTATAAGACGCGCTTTTTTATTTTTAAATGTATCGAAAAATTGCCGTGTCTAATGTGGCCATATTACGGATGGGAGACAGAGCACCATAGCTGGACAATCATAATGGGTAAGTTCGCTACGCACAAAAATCATTGCTAACAATAAAATATTGAAAACAAGCAAAATTATTACAGTAAATTGTGTTACTAATAATAAAACATTGAAAACAAGCTGAATTATCACAGTCTGCTATCACAAAATTACGAAAAATTGCTTACGATACATCGGCAGTTATGAGGGAAGCTCACATCATCTCATAACCCACCATACATAATTCACACCTGATATATGCCATTAACGACGTTACATTATTTAACGACTGTGATACCTGAATGGTAAGGTGTTTCAAATGTGAAACATTTGTTCATTATCTAAATGAAAAATGCTCCAACAAATTTGAAAGGAATGTTAAACTTTCATCTGCCTGTCAGCCATTTGCAATGAGTGGATGACAACAACATCAGAGCACTGTGAAGGTGCGCCACCGCCGGGTGCCCTGGTGGTCTGATGCGACAACATAATACATCACATCCAGAAATACAAGTTTCACATCCTGTATAGCAATTCTCATGTCCAAAATATAAACAACTACACAGTTGATCTGAGAGGAGGTAAGAGTTGGGGTACAAAAACCACTTTAAAATATCTTTCAATAAATGTATGCTGAAACATACTAAAATAGTTTTTTCCACAAAATATCCCTGTAAAATAGGGGGTGCATCTTATGCGAGGATGTGTCTTTTATGCCGGCAAATATGGTAATTCCTTTTGTGCACATTTCGTGTGCAATAACACAATGGTCACATTTCTCAAATGCCTTTGCAAAATCTGTGTATATTATATCAGCATTTCTTCTCATGGCATCTAAGGCCATGTCATAGTGGTCTTCTAATTGTGAGAGGCAGAAGCACCTTGTTCTGAACCGTTATTGTCCAGGGTTATGTGATTCCGTATGTTTTGTGATCTTAGTTCATTGCACTCTTTCAAATATTTTTATGTGTGATGTTAAATCTATTGGTCTATAATTTTTTGCATTTTCTTTACTACCTCCTTTGTGCAATGACAATCTGATGTTACTTTCACATGTTCTATATACTGTACCAAAAACTATAAAAAAAACATACTGTACATTACTATATGTAATTAGTTCCTGCAGTTCACAATCCCACTCAACATCTCTGATGTACTAATTTAATTCTGTATACTTTCCCCTTTGTAATTTAATTTTACATTCTCCTCCCTTAATTTGTGTTCCTATCCTTTCTCTATACAGTATAGCAAACACACAAACCTTTCAAATCATTTCATCCAATTTGGTTTCAGTAATTAATAGTGTTTGGTTTGGAGTTTCTTATTATGTCTTTAATTCTAGAGTATTAGAGCTTATTCCATCAATTTTGATTTGCTAATAAAATCAATTTTTATTTAAAATAAATCAATTTTGTATTATTCCTGTGTATCCAGCTTCCACCCCATTTTTAAATTTTAAGTGGTCTAATCATCTAGAGCGTGCGACTGAGAACACCCAACGCATAGATTTTATCCACATCATGGCTCCTACGGATTTTCTCATTGATGCATTCACGTTAGTATGATTAATATCTCTGTGTTATTATTATTATTATTATTAGGAGCACAGCAGGGGGCATAGTTCATCCGAGTACCAACCAAAGTGTGGACCATCCAGAGATCACCTCAGCCAACTATCTATCACTAAAGATAATAATTGTTCTGTATGTGAGAAATTTTACTAAGCTTGGTAAATTACCTGACAGAAAAGCCTGAAAGTTATTTTCACTTTTTTTTTTTAGTAACACAGATTGATAATGTATGCACATTTCATGTTTTATTTTTATTTATGTTGAGAAAATGAATACAGTACAGTATTGAAATGTTGAAATGTTCATAAAAATTAATTTATTCAGCACCATCTCACAAATTCTATTAATAAATTTATTTGGCATCTATACTATAGAAACAGTTTGTGAGCATTTTGACACCAAATTTAGAGTAATAACCCCAAAACTGAGAAAACATTGAAAGCATGAACATTTTGCATCTCTGAGCAGAACCCAAAGATGACCTACATGTTAACATTGACATGTAGGGTCCCACTTACAAATTCTTTTAAATTAATGAAATTCTCATTGAATTCTTCTTAAATTCTTCACTTAATGTGAATCATTAATAGAATTTGCTGTTTAGCACTCTTCTAGTGATAGTGCCAAAGGCCTTTTAATAGTTAAACTTTCTCTTTCCTCCTTGATTGTTGCCCATCTTGTCACAGAACTTCAGGTTTGTCAGACAAGATTTCACTATGCCCATGCAGTTGCTTGAACATAAAGTTCGTCCATATAAGATGTTAATTTGGTCACCTAAATATTCTCTCTAGAATCTTGCAGGTATTCATGTTGGTAATACATATCTGTAGTTCAATTCCTTCTGTCTATCTTTTTCAAAACTGAGCACTACATTTATTATCTTCCAGCTGTTGGTAGCTCTTTCACTCATTTCTAGCTCAAGTACTGTATATAACAGGTAGTAGCTTGCTTAGGGCTTTGGTTAACTCCTCGAGTACCAATGATTGGGTTTTGTTTGGGTCTGTTATACTGCGCTTGTCACATTCAAAGTTGTGAGCTGCTTTCATACTTTCCCTGCCGAAGCTGTGATACCATCCAGCCACGGTGTCTTTATCCCTCCATCAGGGAGGTGACCTGGTTAGTTTAGGAAAACTTCTTGCAACACTTTGTTCAGTACCTCAAATATCTTCTTGCCATTTTCTATTAGCCTTCAATGTGTGCATGTGCAATCATTCTAATTAAAATGTAATTATGTAGGGCCTTGCTACACCTGTAGCTAGGTGTAACTACAGGAAGAGAGCTATGCTAGATGTCTCATCTTAACTATAATTTTTGTCATATGACATTTTGAAGCTTTCAATAGTTATAGCATTCACCTATATGGGTGTGTTTTAACATTAAAAAAAAATGCCATGTGAGATTTTCTGAATACATGCATCAGCTAAAATATTATTCTTCTCTTTATCATTAAATTTGAAAAACAATTAATGTAGAACTGCCAACCTCTAAAGTACCCTTAATCTGGGTATACAGTACATGTACATATAGATTACAGTGATTACTGCAAATTTATCTTTTACATGAAACTGATTTTTTTACATTTGAATGTGCAAATCCTACTAAGAAGAATTTTGTTCCAAAGATAAAAAAAATTACTTAGAAAAAGCAATGAAATGACTAGCAAAATCCTAGGAACTGGACATGGCACAAATGCCTGCAAGTATCACAGCTATCTTAGTTCATTCCTGTGAAATATTGAACATATTTAATTAATTCTTCTGTTATAATTTTATCTGATATTCAATAAATGCCATTAAAAAGTAAAAGATGGCTTAATGCTGTAAATTATGCCTTTACGAACTAATAACATAATAACAATGTAATATTCGATTGGGCTAAAGCATTCAGTACTGTAGAGTATAGAGAATTTCTGATATACACACAGGACTAGATGCTCAAATTTATACCATATTAGAAAACTTCTAATGTTCAGCATTGCATTTAAATTTTTTGGGGAGCCTCTAAATATGAGCATGAGGGTGAGCAATGGCCACATGTGTCTTGAGAGTGCGTCCTCGAGTGAACCGCTTAAGACAAAGGGGGCACATAAAGGGTTTCTCCCCAGTGTGCATGCGGAAGTGCTCCTTGACGTGATCTTTCTTCTTGAAGGAGCGACCACAGGCCCTGCAAGCATAACGCCTGGTGGCTAAGGCGCCCTCCCCTACTGCCACGCTCACCATCTCCTGCTCTGCCAGGCTTGCAACCCCAACGTTCGTATGCTGAGGCTCCAACAACCCCTGCAAAGACCAACACCCAACCATTACTCCCCTGCCTACGACTCCCCTCAAACTTCCGCGGATCTTTATTATTCAGTTCTTCATGTCAGTAAATTTCAGTCACTGAAGCCATAACTATATAATAAAATACAACTCAGTTTCTTAACAAAAAAGCAAATACAGATCTATTCCTTTGCTTTTATTTTCCCTTTTTACAGAATTCAGACATACCAGGTTGTATTGAAACTACACAACAGACAAGCCTTTTCCAGTTCGCTTTCTCTGATTTATAGCTTAAGGTGTACTTTTTAGAAGTTCTGTTCTTTCAATATCTAGGTTAATGAAAAATTAATGCAGTATTTTTAAGAATGTCAAAGATTTTGAAAATAATACAATTAGTATATTCAACACTTTTATTACACTACTGAATTCATTAAATTAAGTACAAAATATGAAGGAGAAATGTCTGATTTCAACCACAAAAAATAAGCAAGAATAACATTATATCAACAGTCTTACAGATATACATATGATAAATAAGGCAATGGAAATGAATAAAATTAACACATTACCAAACTTATACTGTGCAAAATTTAAGCACTGAAAAATGTTGCTAGAGATTTTGAAAAGCAGTCTAGGAGGCATGAAGGTGGTGGCAGTACTGCTGTTGCTGTTGATGATGACTGCGAGTGTGTGTGTTCAGATTGGTCTTCTTAGCAAAACTTTTTCCACAGACAGAGCAAACATATGGTCGCTCACCAGTGTGTGTACGTTCATGTTCAACTAGATGATCCTTCCTCTTAAACCGTTTAGAACAAAATCTACATGCATAGGGCCGACATTGGTACAGTAAAGATCCTGTCACCACAGGCTGATCACCCCCAGTACTGCTCCCAGGTCCACGGGAAGTATTAAGGCGCGGCGATCTTGGCTCACCAGGGAGCTGGTCTCCCACGGCATCATTCAGGCAATACTCCAAGATGTCTAGGTCAGGAGCCACTGCTGGAGTCACATTTTCCCCACCACTGGTTGATGTAGGAGGTCCCCTCCGAGAGTATGCGGCGCCCCCGTCAGCAAGTGGCGCCCCGCCACCCGCCTCACCCAACTCCCCAAGTATTAACCGCATCGTCTGTAACGATATACAAACATATATCAGACCTCCTTTCACACTCACAGCACACTGCCACCACATTAACTAGCTATACATTAGTTTTATACTGTACACACACAGGTATTACTGTGGATGAGGAAATGTTGTAGTGGTGGTGTTGGTGGTGGTGGGTGGCAGGAGGTGCAACCTCATATGCAGGGTGAGTGCATCCCTGTTAGAGAAGGTCTGATTGCAGGTGAGGCACACAGGTGCAGCACACTTAGCAGCACGTTCATGTTGCCGTAGATGTTGCCGCTGAACAAATGAACGACCACAGGTATGGCAGGTGAAGGGGCGCTCCCCAGTGTGCAGGCGAAGATGATCACGCAGATGACTGGTGTTGAGGAAGCGCTTGCCACAGAAAGAGCAGTGATGCGGCCTTCGGGCATCATATGAGCCGCGATGTGACTGCCCACCCATGGCTATAAGCGCTGCATCCAGCCCTGCCCGCCCCTGCAACAAACACCACCACTTAGACACCACCGACAACCCCACGTTGATAACCCATCTTAACTATTTCAATCAAATCCCTCTCCCCTTACCCCATATATAAACACCAACGAGAAACAAATAAAATTAGACCAAAATCTAAGATGAAATTAAAAAACTAAAATTAAATTTAAAAATTTAACTTCTGCAAATACAGTATTGACTTTAAATAAAAAAATGAATAATTTGAATACTGTAATTGCAAAATAAAAAGTGTCTAATCTTTTCAAGTTTTCTGTAACAGCATGTAATATTAGTGTCAAATTAAAGACAAGAATTACAAAAATAATTCACTTATACAGTACTGTACCTTTATATATCCTCTCAAAACTAAGCACTATTACGGCTAGGTATGGCTCTTCTTTACTTTCTATAAAAAATAATTAATCAAATAAGAGTTTCATTATCTATAAGTCCTGTACTGACCTGTACTATAATGACTGCCTGCTATAGTATTTAAAAAGTATTGTCAATATTTCTATGACATCATTTACTGTATGCTTGATTTAATTATTAACGGAGAAAATACTGTATACAGGACTTCACAAAGACATCTGTGCCTAATATTTTATTTTGCGCATCAGTGTGTGCATGGGCTAAGCATGCACTGTTATGTACCACTTTGCTTAACAAGATGTACTTATTGGTAAAAACATGAACTTCCAGCATGCCTATCAGAATTTCAGTGAAACCATTACCATTTTAATTTTCCAGTGAATTTTCAATGAAACCATTTCGGTTAAATTTCATACGAAACATTAATTCACATCTGTTAAACTGCATTCATTTCAATACTGTAACTTCCTGCACATAGCTTTGATAAAAATGTTTTGGGTGCTAGATTCAAACTAGATGTAGTTTAATTGCACTGAAGGCAAATTAAGACAAGTATCCCCGAGTTGGCCTGTCTCACTACATGACAGACTGATGTAATGTTGGGTGGTGGTGGGTGGAGAGACCAGGGAAGAGAAAAGAGAGGGTTGTAAGAGCGGTGGTTTGTAGCATGTGGTGATATTTGGTGGTAGTGGTGGAGGGTGAAGGTTGTGGGTGGTAATAGGGGTTGGGATGTAGCATGCAATGTTGAAGATGAGCTGGGGAGGGTGGTGGCAGTACTTGGGGGATGATAGTAGTGATATGGGTTGGGTGGTGGCTTGGAATAGTAGTGGAAGAGAAAAGAGGAAGTGGGGACAGAGGGATAGTGGAACTGGATCAGGATGGAGATAGTGGAATGGTGAGAAATGTGCAGGAAGGTGAGAGGGATGGAAAGGAAGGCAGGGTGGAGAGGGCCAGAGAGGGAAGGGTGAGGGGGAAGTAGGGAGGGGTATTACATAACTACTGTACCTGTGTAAATGAGTACTAGTGCCAACACAATATTATTGCAGACTTAAAACGTTTTAGCTCCAAATATAAAAACTACATACTACGTATATATCAAGGCTGCAACACAGATAAAAATTTAAATTTAATATTTTTACTTTTGTTGTCGTTCAAACCTAAAAAATGACAAGTGCAAATCTTTTTAAGGAAGCGGTTAAAATTGATACTACTGGGACAATCCCTTTGAATTAGGGTAAATTTGTAAAATATTTGGAGCAGGTATGCTTATTTGTTCTTGAAACACGGCATTGGTCAAGGTCCCCTTTCCCCCTTTTCCCACAACGATGGGTTAAGTTTTAAAATCTGACACCTGGGGAGCTACACAGCCCAGGTAATACTCAACTACTAATATGTTCAGTATTAGGATTAAAAATACGCAAGAGCAGATTACGGCTATTAAATAATTACTGTAATGTAAGAAATGCCTTAACGTTTGTTACATAATGCAGTACTGCCGTTAGATGCATCAACGACAACATATTCATTCTTCACCATTAAATATATAATACTACACTATACAAGGTCTACACACAACAAAACATCCCAGGTTCACATCCGCTACAAATAAACACAACTGAAACAAAAACTGCCAGTAAACACACTGAGAGTACTGAGTGTGTATAAGCCAAGGTTACTAGCTACATTTTCAGCTTTATTTAAACAAAAATCAAACAACTTAGTATTTTAATTTGATTTCTTAGTCGTAAGAAAATCTTGAAATAATGGCAAGTTGCCAACTAGTATATTGTTTGGTATTGTTTGCCTTCTGCTATGAAAACATAAAATATAATCACATAAACTAAATATAACTAACTGAAAAGCATTTAGAAAGTAAGATATAATATTAAAACTGATATTTTAGGGATTTGTGATGTTGCATTTTTGGGGGTAAAATTAATATCTCAAAGCACCCTTTATAGGTTTTAGTGGTTAGGTGTTCTCAGCTTTAGTCTAATTTTGATGAAACTTTCCTACAATATATAAATCAGCAGGATTTGTTAAGAGTTTTTAGTGATAGAAATTTGGTATTGAGATTTGGGGTTAAAATAAAAGTAATTTTTTTTTGTTGTTGTATTATTAGGAAACTTAAATTAGTATTTTCCTCTAGTACAATTATAGAACTTTGTCTGCTCTTACCATTGATACCATAACAATTAATTTGTAGTAATATTTGCAAAAAAATTTATATTTAAACCTAAGTTTGAGTAACCACACTCGAATTTTAAAGATAAATGTCAAAGAACTATACATCAGAAAGTATCGTTCTAGAGTCAAATTGACTTGGCCCTCTTAATTTAGACAGAAATCCTAATCACCCTATGCCCCTGTTACCTAGCAGTAAAATAGGTACCTGGGAGTTAGTCAGCTGTCACGGGCTGCTTCCTGGGGGTGGAGGCCTGGCCGAGGACCGGGCCGCGGGGACACTAAAGCCCCGAAATCATCTCAAGATAACCTCAAGAGATCACTAGATTTTGTTGTTGAGTTTTCCGAACAACTTCCAATGACCATTATTTATAGTAATCATTAAATTAAAACAATGCCTTAATAATAAATGTATAGAAAAATAATATTTAATATTTTAACAAAAGTATTTACTGATTGTTAAAACTGTGTGTACAGGCAATATATTGTATTTCTCTGCTAAAATGGAGATTTTTTGTTAAAATTTAGTCACCTATATATCACACACTGAGTGGACCCATCCTGATCCTTTGAACTTGCTCACCATTTGAACTGAAGTGTTCTCCTTTATATGAATCTACATTAAAGTGTGCAACTCTATAACAAAGATTTCAGTTCCAACATTGTTCTTTAATAGAAACTTTTATAGTTTTTGTTAACAACATTCTGATAAGCTCATGAAGATTTAGACAGGCAGTATAGTCGACTAGTTAGAAAAAGAAGGTAATGAATAGTGAATCAGGATAAGGTATGGTGAGTGAAGATGAGGTTCTCTAGTCTGTTACCAGCAAGATGGAGGAAGTTAAGGAGAATGATGAGGAAGAGTCGGCAGCAACACCACAGACAACAAAAATTCAGAGACCTTAGACAGCTATTGAAAAACTAATTAATTATGCACTCAGCGGTGATAGTAAAAAAATAAGAAGTTTACATCGTTAGGCAGGGCAAAGAACCAATTATAAAAGATGCAAATGAAAAAAGTGGCAAGCCAAAACAGATTCTTATTTGGTATGATAACTCAAAAAACTTCAACCCATCGAGCCTCAACAGTTGCCAATCAAAACAGACCATGACAAGCACTTGTTATGGTAAGGGTAGGTAAATGTACAAAAAAGTCCTTCAGTGATCAACATGTCATTAACTCCACCAAAGTTGAAATTTATGTTATAGTATTGTCATTCTCTTTTTATTTATGTCAATAAAGTTATTTTAGTTCATTATCATGCACCCAACACTCATCCTGTGAGCAGTAGTCAAAAGTATGTTGACCAGACCACACACTAGAAATTGAAGGGACGACAAACTTCAACCCATCTTAACATCATAAATTAACCCATTTAATTTAGGGTTAAATTGTCGTCCCTTCAATTTCTAGTGTGTGGTCTGGTCAACATACTTCTGCCACGTTATTGTGACTCATCGCCTACAGTAGTCAAAATTCAAATACGGACAATGAACTCATGAACTGTACCCCATGAATTCTTTGAAGATGCTCTCCTTAACAATGTACTTTTACTTTTATTGTGTGCAGAAATATAAATTAAACTGGGTATGGTCACATAATTGCAAATCTATCACTTTTTACATGATTTGTAAGAAATGTGACTAATTTGAATGTCTGCACTCTTTGGATCGAGGTCATCCCACATATAATTTAAATTAGGAAGCTTATACAATACTGTATCTTTATTTGAGGTTGAAACCACGTCACCTGGTGTCAACAAGGTTACATCTGGTTAGGGTTAACAACAGCTTTTTTATCATGAATAGCAACAATGAATTATTAAACTTGATCATTAGTAGGGATGGAGCTACTGATAGAATAATATAACCATTTTACTACATTTAGCACTTTTCTGCCAAAAAAGCTAAGAAAACAGATCATGGAGTTCATCAATAATCAAGTGAGTAATGGTGGTAGAAGTTCTTAAAGAAGAATCTCGAATGAATAAAAATGAGACCTCGGATGATGCTGTTTACCAATGCTGTTATACAACCCCTGAATATTCATTTATATGTACAGTACTACTTGCACTGCAAATTTATTCACAGCAAATTGTGAATTTTACTGTACAGTACTGTGCTTTCCAATAGCTACACAATAACCATATTTTATTGCTACTGGGTAACCAAGATAAGACTATACTACCAGACAAGTCTGGCATGGTAAAACTCTCAAAAC